TTATTCAATTAGACTCGGAAGAAATATACTTACAAAATGAATGAGTTGTGTGTTGTAAGTTATTGTAATGTACGTGTAATATATAAGCTTGAGATTTATGCCTTACCTGCCACTTCTAAATAGAAATGTCATAACCAGGGCATGTGGTGCTCTGATTTTAGCCCCATATCTGAGAAATAAACAGAGTGTTATATAAGTGCTTCGCTACCGGCTAAAAATCTCCACTTATTGTTATTATCCTCAGCTGCTGCTAAATCCACCGCCAAGTTACCAGTCTGGCTCTCTGCCATGACAGAGAACAACAGCTAAAGGAACAAGTGCAATAGTCCAGCTGATAGCAGTGTAAGTGTAAATAAGTAAATAGCGTAGTTAAGCTCGCAGGGTGCTCCACTGAACTCACACAGCGCCGTTCCTGAATCCCTTCAAAACTGCCAACGCCGCTTTGTATTTCTCCTGCTGTAGAAGATTATTGACGGTATACAGAAGAGTTCTTATCAGATCAGGACCCGCCATGACTTTCAACGGAGCCGAGGGGAAACAGATACAGGTGGGACACAACAGTGCAGAATGCTGTGCCACATTAAAAACGCACCCTGTAGCCGAGTTCTATTAAAGGTTCCTATGCGTGCAGAAGCGCAGCTCAGTGAGATGAAACTAACACTGAAGGGGAAAGCTCTAAAACACCACAAAACAGTACAAGTATTGTGTGGTTACTGAAAGTAAATAAAATCGTACAGGACGTGTCTTTACTCTTAGTTTTTTTTTTTTTTCAACACAGTCAGGATATCTGCTTAAATCCAACAAAATCTGAAGTAAACTTTAACTCGATGAAAACTACACAAAAAACAAACAAACAAAAAAAATGGAAAAAAGAAAATAAGTAAATAATCAAAAAATACCGAAGTGTAGTAAAACTCTAATGTTATTTGAAACCGCTCCACCTGTTGAAAAACACACTTTAAAAAAGAAAAACAGAAAAAGGTAATTTAGCTGAAAACTCTTCAGTATTTTGCACAATGCCACAAATGACATGAGGAAAAGAGCCTACTGCACCTCATTATTATTGCACTGCAATTTATTGCTGACTGTAAATTAAATGCCTAATTTTTGATACATTACTGCACTAGTTATTCATCTTCTGCTTATTACACAATGCAAATGTGAATATCTCATATGAAAACTGAAGTGTTTTTATGTCAACCTTCACTTTAAATGCAAGCCTAAGACCAAAGACCAGTTTTTGACTTTATCCTGCAAGAACGGTTACAAATTTTAGGATGTTAAAATAACAACAAGGAGAGGGCATAATTTGTTTAGAGGTATCAGCATGTACACATGCAGTATTCTAGCACATTTGCCAAGACACCACCCATGTAATTCAGGCAGACACTTTACTTATGTAATAGATTCATACAGTTCCCCATCATTTCTTGTTCTTATCTTTAGAAATGTCACCTTGATAACTATTAATAACTTATAGTAGATAACTCTAGTAGAAATAAAAAGTACCATATGCTTATAATACAAAAGTCAAGTTTTAAAGAAACAATAATTAATATTATGTAACAGAACAATTAGCAGACAGCAGTTTCTGAGTCACAATGTTAAGTAATGGCTTATGACATGCACATACAGTGGTGTGGTGAGTACTATTAATGTTGTTCTTTGGGGTGGAAGAAAACCTATTCTAAAAACATGCTAATTTCTTATTTTAGTAGAATTTGTTCTGTCTATTAAACAAAACAACTAAATATGAAACTTTAAGGAAACTGTGTTAGTCATGTAATTATTGCATATTACATAATGTAAGAGTGGATGCTTCATACAAGTACTAATGTAAAATTATGCAATGAATTCTAATTGTTATTTTTGTGCTCTCCACTGTATATTTTGTGATTCTTATGTTTTTTGAAAGGCATCACCCTTTTAACCAGGATTTCAAGTAATACTTACATCCACACTATAAATGCTGTCTAGAAAATCATTCTGTACAATACAATTATACAACTGTTTATGACTTGTATAGTTCATATTTCATAATTCTGTATAGTTTCATATTTATATCCTGTTCATAGCTTGTACACTCACTACAGCCTGTACATACTTATAGTTATAACATATTCATAACATACCTTCATACCATGTACATTGTAACATACCCATAATAGACCCATGGTTTGTACCGTCTCTACAATAGACCCATTTTTGTAATATATCTATATTATTGCTAATATATATTTTTGTTATATATATATATATTGCTAAAGCACTTTCTGGGTGGATGCAAACTGCATTTCGTTGCCTTGTACCTGTGACGTGCAATGACAATAAAGTTGAATTCTAATTCTATTCTACAACATACAGTTGAAAGAAAGCAACACAACATTCTCAAAAGTACAAACAGCATAGTGAAACAGTGCTAGAACTTGGTAGTTCACTCACTGTTTCAGCTGTTACATAATGGAGTAAGCATCATCCTGTTAAATGATGTTGCCAAGAGCCATCTTACATACCATCTGGTGTATTCTGGTACATTCTCTGTGTCAACACCCATCAACATACCCAGCATATGTAGTTTTGTAACAAAGAGAGTTCTCGTTTTCTTTCATGTATCTTCTGTGTGTTTTCAAAGACAGCAGTTCTTACATAATTTAGGTCACTTTGCTAAAAGTAAATGAAGACAGCACTCTGACAAAACTGTTGGAGACAGAGATAGATTTGTTTGGGAAATTTCAGCTCACGAAGGGCAACAATAAACCCAGCAAGATGAAGAGATCAATTCAAGTGGAAGAGAACATAAAAAACCCAATTATTCAATTAGACTCGGAAGAAATATACTTACAAAATGAATGAGTTGTGTGTTGTAAGTTATTGTAATGTACGTGTACAAAATACCCATCACACTTTCAGTGTTTTAATTGTTTTATTGCTCTTTTTTAAATCTACTAAATCCATTGATACAAGAAATTCATCTTCCTAATATTTATCCACAAACTTCCACTTGTGTATAAAAAAATGTTAGTCTACTATTCGAATGACTGTGCAATCAGAACAAGTCAAACACCATTTTGCATATTTTTTTTAAATATATTCATCTGCCCCATGACCTGGACCACAGTGGTGGTTAAACACAGAAGTGGTTAATTCAACCACTCCGAGTGTCAATGTGCTGTAATATTGTTACCTGTTAAATATTCAACAGTCAACATACTTTAAAAAAAAGAAAAGAAAAAAGTTTTATGCATTTTTTTTTACATTAATCTGCACAGGAGTAGCTACACTGCAAGTGTATGGGTGTACAACCAGTAAGGGAATAGAGGTGAAGTCAAGTGAAACATCCTACACAATTAAATGAAGAAAAACTGGTATGTGGCGGTGGAGGTGTGGCCTGAATGAATGTACTCATCAGGGCAACGAGGGATCACTTACATCAGACAAGTCTTTTTTTTCCCCTACCTGCAGTGCTGACGACATGAAATGGAAAAACAGCCACATGGTTCACACATGAGTACATTAAAAACGACAGTATTTTGTCTGTTTACATTTCAATCTGTATCTTAAAGACACCATGTATAAAATCATTTTCTGGGCCACACACTGGAATTACTGCAGATAATTTACACCACGCTGCCAACATACACACTACCACAGGTTGAAGGCTGGACAGTGGGAAGAAAAATAAATAAATTAAAAAAAGAAATCATAATATGAGTTTTGGGTCTGTTTATTCAATCCTGTTTATAAAAAAATATTAAGACCTACTGACCTAATGATCTTTTAAAATATGCTTACTTTCACTGGCTACGTCTTTGTTTCTGGTGTCATTCACTTGTAGAACTACATTCTAAGTAAAAGGGGGAAAAAGTAAAGTCTTTTTATAATGGCAACAAAATTATTAAAACGTGAATGTGAATATAATTCCTCAGCAAGGTAAATTTGTTTTAAATACAAAATATATTTTTAGTTTTCTTTTTAGCAGAACAGAGCAGTTGCCTCCTTTGTTTTAATTTCTAAACCTTACCACAAGTAAAACAAATAACAAACTCTTAGTACTGACCATTGATATCACGTGTGTAATTACTTTGGGACTGTTCGGAATTGATTACCTCTGTTAAGGGTTCTTTAATTAATTTAACTCATTTGTTAGACTGGTTCCAAAGATTTTATTTAAGTGATACTTTACCTAAAATAAACTATATCTGTCAGCAGACAACATTTTGAAAAGTCATGAAATACAATACAACTGTACAAATCTGAAAGCCATACGCCCTATAAAACTAGGGGCACTTGCTATCATAATTCAGATCTTATTTCACATCTTGCCAGCAACTTAAGAAGTTCTATTGCTAGAATAAGTCACTTTTCTTTTGATTAAACTTCGGAGTATATTTACATAAACTGCCTTAGCTACAGATAAATTTGTTAAGAATCAGAATAGTCATTAATCCTTTTTGTTGTATTGTGGTATCATAACATCAACACACACACAAAAATATAAAAAATTTTAAAAACCTTTTTGTTTCCTAATAAATGTGCCACATTTTATCTATTTTGTGGGAGAGAAAAAAAAAGGTGGTTGCCTCAGAAACCCAGCATCAGCACATGTAATACTTTGCTCTGGGCAATTAGCAGAGATCAGTTACCATCTCATGGAAATTGTTCATTGACATTCCACGTCATCAGTAACAAGTTAATTATCAGGAAAAGCCCGTCATGTTCCCTGACTGACAAAAGTGCTGAGCGTCCACACTTAAATCTGATTTCATACAGCACAGTATGGGAAGGTAATCTTTTCTCAAATCACAACCACATTAATTTCACCAAATATGTCACCAACTTCATATTGGAATTGAAATCAACACTAAATGGTAAATATTATCAAAGTGTTATAAAAATGATCAAACAGCTTTGACTCCTATCTGGAAAAATGTTTCCTACAAAACAATTGCACATAAAAATACCACATCTTTCAAGAACAATCAAAGCATCTTACTGCTCACACAACAATGTGCAAAGGTACTCAGCATCTTAACTCATTAAATTTTTAAGAAATAAACCTGTCAAAATAAGATAAAGTTATCATTATGTTTTGCAAAAAGTGTTAAAGAAACTGTATAAGTGCTACGGGAGTCTTTACAGTCTGTCAGTCAGCGATTTGGGGGGGGATTATCCATTTCATTCATAAAAAATAGGAAAGATTCAAAGCCATGGTTGAACCTCTGATGTTGTTTTTAACATATCAACTTCCATCCTTTAAGACAAAATGCACAAATATGGTTCTTCATGCTCATGCATAGAACCAGAAAGTGTCTCATAAGTTTCTACTGCATATTCACACATGTAGATGTAGAAACTGCAGTCGGTCTTCATACAAGTGCAAACACGACAATGCAAGAAAGGCCCCGCCTCCATCGCCTGACAGTGGATTAGGAATGAACTGATCACCTCTTACTACAGGAAAGAGGTGAAACCAGGTTAAGAGGATTTTTAAGGTCTCGTTTGAAGCAAACTAATTTTTAACAATACAGCTTTTTCTTTTTAAGAATATGCAATTGTGACAAACTATAAGTAAGTAATAATAAGTTCTTCCACCAGATCATAAGCAGCTTCTGACTACAAAGACAATCTGCTGGAAAGTGCTCTTGTCTGAAATGGATATGGCTCCTCCAAGTCCACCGCCATCACCACCATCCTATACGTTTGCACTTATAGTTTTACTCCTGCCCGAATCCTTCTGTTTCCTCTATGGCAAACATGAGTTTCTCCTTCAGCTGTTCGTAGCTCTTATAAGGAGGGAGGTCCAGACGATTAAAGCTACATAAAACAAGAAGACAGAAACAGAGGGTGGCCAGAGGTGCTCTATTAGTATTAAGTTAACATTTTCTTTCTAGGTCATTCATAATGATGACAAGTGTGTTGTGTTTGCATTTATAAATGATAACATTTGTTCAGCTGCAGTAATGTCCCACGGTACTGCGCACAGCGAAGACATCTGCTAAATAAACACTTAACGAGCAACAATGTATTCTCACATAGCATTATATAACAACAAACACCAACATCTTAGGCTAAAAATAAAGGAACGCTTGCAACGGTTGAATCAGAAATGACTAATAGGGTTTGGTCATGAAAGTTTAATCCCACATTAAGCCGGATATGACACGAGGTTTAACACATGAACTGAAGAAACCTGTACAAATGTAGAATTACTGGTCTTACCATGTGTGGCTTCGTGGAAGCCAGTTTTCTTTTCCAACTTTCTCAATGCAAAACTTCTGTGGACCATTGCTTCCTATATTGATCAAAAATAAGGATAAAGAGATTAAATATGATTTTGATATCACATACTGGTTTATACTACTGTACAAATGTCATGTGTCTGTTCGCTGTTGATACCCATTAGATCAGCGAAGCCGCCCACGGGAAGACGACAGGTTCCTGTGACAAACTGCAGAAGTCTCATCCTTTTTTCGTTGTCCATCTCCTTCACAAACTGTTAACAGACAGTTTTGTGTTAACACCAGTATCAGGCTGAAATCCGTACATTACAGTGATACTAATTTTCCATTTGTTGTTTTTCAGTTGGAAAAAGAAATATTCACACTGAATTAAGCAGCTACAGCTGATTCAATAACACACA